CAGATGGGAGATGGCAGTCACCTTACGGGGGCCATGCAGACCGTCCCTGTTTTTGTTGAGGATCGAGATGAGATCGACCGCCGGCTGAATGCTTTCCGTAAGCATAAGCCACCTGCCTTTGATGGATCCTTTGATCCTGTTGCTGCGGCGCATTGGCTACAGGCGTTGGACAAGATATTTCGGGTCATGCAGTGCACAGATCCGCAGAAGTTGATGTTCGCTACTTACATGCTGGAGGGCGATGCCCATGAGTGGTGGACAAACCTTTCTCATGTCTACGAGATGCAGGGTCATGTGATGACTTGGCCTATGTTCGAGGATTTCTTCTTGGGTCAGTACTTTCCGTATGACGCTCAGGAGAGGCAGCAGGGAGAGTTCGACAGATTGGTTCAGGGCTCGTTGTCTGTGGACGAGTACCTGGCTAAGTTCAACCAGTTGGTGAAGTTCACACTTCAGGATGGCGAGGCCTACTCCTACATTTCTGGCTGTTAAGTTCCGCAGGGGACTTAGTGAGGATATTGCTGGTTACCTAACTGGTTCTGCTTCTAGAGATTTTGGGACACTGGTTCAGCAGTGTCGTGATATTGAAGATCACTACAGCTCGAGTAAGGCCAAGAAGGCCAAGGTTGCTGAGGCGACGAAGGTTGCAGCTGGTAGTTCCACTTCTTGGCGAGACAGGAAGTTTGGGAACAAGGGCAAGGGTAAACAGATGGCAGGTCGGCAGGCGCCGAATCAGTTCAAGAGAGCTTCTGCTCAGGGGAGTGCAGCGAGACCTCCTGCTCCCAGGTGTTCGGGATGCGGAAAGACTCATTTTGGGCCGTGTTCTACCGGCCAGTTGATTTGCTTTCAGTGTGGCAAGGAGGGCCATTTCTCCAGAGACTGTCTGTCGACGACGGCGAGGGCTACTGCAGTGCAGGCAGTGCCACTTCAGATGGTTCCCCTTCCACCTACTTCGGCACCGGCAGTGCCACCATCTTCTGGGAGAGTTTATACTCTGGATCGTCAGCAGTCGGATCGAGCTCCGAACCTTGTCAGAGGTACTGTTACGATTGGTACATCAGCTGTTGATGTTTTGTTTGACTCAGGGGCTACGCATTCTTTTGTTGCTACCCCGATTGCTGTGGGGCTTGAGTTGCCCATGTCTGTGCTTTCTCCACCGCTGCGGGTGACCACCGCCACCGGAGAAAGATGTGATGCTACCACTGTTCATCGCGATGTGGCGTTTCAGTGGGATGGCCGTGAGTTCTCGGTGGATCTGATAGGATTGCCGATGGCCAACTTGGAGGTTATTCTGGGCATGGATTGGCTATCCAGAAATTGTGTGATGATTGACTGTTGTGCCAAGCGTGTAGTGTTGTCTCCGTGTGATTCCACAGCCAGTTCCTCGCCGTACTTTTCGTTGCTGCAGGCTAGGAGAGCCTTGAGAGCAGGGGCATTTAGTTATGTCATGTTGGGAGGTTTGGTGAGTGGCACACAGGAGGACATCACCGGCATTCCTGTGGTGAGGGAGTTCCTCGAGGTGTTTCCTGAGGAGATTCCTGAGTTTCCGCCACAGAGGGAGATAGAGTTCTCCATAGATCTGTTGCCTGGTGTGGGGCCGATTTCTTTAGCTCCATACCGGATGTCGCCACCGGAGTTGGCAGAGCTGAAGAAGCATATTGAGGATCTTTCAGCAAAAGATTTTATTAGACCGAGTGTGTCTCCTTAGGGAGCACCGGTTATCTTTGTGAAGAAGAAGGACGGGACAATACGATTGTGCACCGACTACAGGCAGCTGAACAAGGTGACAATCAAGAACAAGTATCCCCTTCCTCGGATTGATGATCTGTTGGATCAGCTCAGGGGTGCTTGTGTGTATTCCAAGATTGATCTACGGTCCGGATACCATCAGATTCGGGTGAAGCCGGAGGATGTCCCGAAGACCGCATTTCGCTCGAGATATGGTCATTTTGAGTACTTGGTGATTCCGTTCGGTCTCACCAATGCACCTGCTGTGTTCATGGATTACAACTTATGCTATTATTATTGTTATTTACTATTAATTTCATTTTCAATTTTCTGTTGAGAAGCATGATCTCATAATATCAGCTGAAATATATGATGAACTCAAGAAGATGAGAAAATTCATTTTAGAAATTATTCTTGACTTCTAACATAATGCTTTGACATAATTTACTTTTATCAACCAAATCTGAAACAAGCCGCAAAAAATAAGAAAAGATTAAAAAAAGAAGAGAAAGATTATACATATAACCTATTTTTATTTATAATCTCTTACAATTATATTTTAACCGTTAATTTCCATCAATTAAAGATTATTATTTTCAGAAATCAAATTTATTAATTCGCAATAAATGACAATTGTTGATTGGCGGAAATCTGTTAAAATATAGTTATGAGAGGTTATAAACGAAAATAAATTGTGCGTATAATCTTCTTATAAAAAAAAGGATTAACATATTCATTATGTATGTAATTCAAAGATTTTTCCCGTGTTTTTTGAACAACAATCAAATGCTTTTTGCTTAAAACAAAAAAAACAATCAAATGCTTCCAAGATTCACCATTGATGGATTCGAGATTCGTCAATATAGAGACTAATATATAACAGCAACTTGAAATCTAACGCTGTCCATCTATGATAATGGTTGTGGCCAGGCTGTTTAAAGCTTCGGCCTACTTTTCCAAGTGTTTTCCTCAATTATTGCACCCTCCTTCAATATTAGGTTTAACATATGATTTGGTTTCATAAAAGTGATAGTTTTTGTATTGCTTTGGTTACTGAACTTTCTTATTTATACGAATTATTTTTTTGAAAGTAAACTTTACAATAAATTAGTCATTTTATCTTTCCGTGTTAATAATACAATGCAAAAATGCTAATGTGAAATGTTAAGGATACACATATAACAATATTTGTTATTTAAATTTTGGGGTTTGCATTTGTCATTTAACATGACACAACAAACTTTCCTACACACACAATATTTTGTGGGGCCCCACACTTTTTGAAGAAAAAAGAAAAAAAAAAAATTACGGCATGCAAAACGAATCTCTATAACATTACACAATCACTTTTCCTACAACATAACTCTTATAAAACCCTTAAATTTTCTAATATAATTCTTAAATGATATCATTACTTTGATTATAGAGAGTTTTACATAAATTAAATACATTTATTTGGGATGGGATAGAATGACATTTTGAATGTACAAAGTAATGATATATATTGTCTATAAATTTAAGTAAGTAATTTTTATTTTTATTTTTGATTTTTCAAAAGTATTTACATCCATTTGGATTAGACTAATTCCCTTTATAGCGTAGAGCATGAAGATTTATGTCACTTACCCCAAATTATTTCGCCCGAGTCCCTAATTGTTTCGCTTAATATTATATTTCAACCCCAACAATTCACTCTTTGGGCAAAATTTGCTTAACATTTTCTACAAGGAATTTAGTTAGCAAATAATGTTGCATAGATATTAGGGGTGTTGATCAACGATTCAAACCGATTCAAACTGCGATGACCGAACCGAAAAATCGATAACCGAATAAATCGATAAATCAAAAACCGAAAAAAATTGCAAATTTTAATTAGATTAGATCGATTTTTGAATTGGTAGATGAAAACCGATCCAATATATTAATTTCCCTCTACCTACTTGGGTCTTTCCCTAAACCGATAAACCCAAGATTCATTAACCCATCAACTAAACCCAAGAAAAAACCTAGTCACATCTCATCAACAAAATTTCATCTATGTAGAGCTCATGTCTCATTGTCTAAAAAACAAAAATTATATTATCGTTTACTTATGTTTTGTATTTTAAAAAAAATTACAAAGGCAATATATACAAAAGATGTTATTTGCACAGTAATCATGAAACAAATTTTAAGATTTTCAAAAAATCGAAAACCGATCCAATCCAAACCGAAAAAAATTGGATTGGATCGGATCGGATTTGAAAAAAAATCCAAGCCGAATGGACGATTACATGATCAAAGCGAAGGAATTGAATCAGATGATTTTTGTTTCCAAAACCGATTCAATCTAGACCGCGATCACCCCTAATAGATATGTAACTTAACATTTCGGTAACGTAACTAAGAAAATTAACTTTTAATGAAGTTCACTTTTAAAATTGATTTGTATAAACATAAATTTGAAGGACAAAACAAATTGTATGTTATCTCTAAACCTTACCTGCAACTGCACTTTACAGTTTCTACTCAAATACTTACCAAACAATCACATCAAAGTTGCTACCAAATGTCAAGTCATTAGACCATCAATATGGACTAAAAAGTTAACATGATCCCGGCACATGTTAACTTTCCCTGGTCTCACTCACAATCAAAAAATTTTTTTTGACCATTTTATTCTTGTTTTTTTTGTTTGTTTTCCTTTTCTATCTTTTACATGTGAGAGGGACCATTTATACATTCCATGAGGGTATTTATTGGGGACAAAGACATTGAATTTTGGAGCTCAACGCCTCATGGTATAAGAGATTCTTATGAGTTACGATTCATTGGATCAGAGGTCCTTATGAGTTAAAAGATTGTTTTAACCATTTAAATATTGAAAAAATTATTTATCTTTTTGAAGATATAATTATATTATTTTAAAAGAGATAAAAATATAATCTAATATTTTTTTATTTAACTTTTAAAAAAAAAATTCACTCTCTCTCCCATAATTTCAATTACTTATATCTTTCTCTCACTTAAAATGACCTAACTTCATATCCTTTAAAAAGACAAACACTAAACACTAAACACTAAACCCTTAAATATTAAGATTGTTTAAATTAACTTATTTTTTTAAAAAAATAACTTTTTCTTCAACAAGGTAAGTTGAATTTAATATATATATATATATGTACATATATATATTAACTTGAAAATGAATTGAAAATAAAACCTCCAAATGCATGCTCTTAAATTAAATATATCCTGTTAGAGATGACAGCAATCAATCCAAACTTCTCCAAATCACCATAACATGGATGACAAAGTAATGGCATTAATCAAGAAAAATGTTACTTATATCCTCGTTTACAACTTAGGACCAATTTGCAATTACATAAAACAAAATTTCTACCATAGTGCAAAATATATCACTAAAACTAACGCTCAACAAACCAAAATCCTGCATGTTCTTATGATCTCCATAACTGGATACTCTATCTATTTCGTCTGTGTAACACCCTTAATGAGGCCATCAAAGGTGTAACATTGCTTGACATTCCATGCGCGGAATCCATGTACTTAAGCGTGGTTAACTTAAAATTTACTAATGGGAATTAATTTCGTTCATTCCCCTAACTTATCTATTCCTCTAGTCATGAGTTTCTCTTTTTCTTTGTCTACGGTCTACTTACAAATTAATCTCTACTTGGTTACCCTACTTATACTTATGCGCTATTTTAGGAGCTCACTTACATGACATAGTGTTGACTACTACCCAGTGGGTAGTTACTTAAGTGTCTTATGCGGATAGTGGCTTATGTTACTTAATCTTTCCTACTAAATTCATAAGTCCATAAAAACATAAACATCCCAAAATATCGTACTTCAAAGGCATATAAGATGTTCAAAATATTCTAAGTGGCATAGTCTATTACAGTCATCCCAAATTAGAACTTAGGTGCACCCTTAGGAAGGTGCCTCTTCAAGCCACATGGGCCCAGCTAGAGCAGATATAATATAGTCTGCCTCCAAGAGCCTTCCTTCGGCCAGTAAGTTCTCAAATATCTCCGTTATTTTGGAGTCATTATCAACTGCACGTGGTTGCACAGATTCCTCTTCAACTCGTACCAGCCTCTTTCCCTGTCTTACCCATTTAGTCATTTTTTTCCTGAAAAAAGGACTCACAGTTGGAGCAACCTCCAAACCATGATGCTTACTCCTGCAATAGTCACATAATAACATGTACAATAATAGAATGGCAAAACATTGGAAACATAGTTTGGAAAATAATCATGCTTTCATATCATCATACCAATCCTGCCATGGCAATTACTCTCCATGGTCTTATGGACGAATACCCAGGGTCCTCGTCAGGTTGCCTCTGTGGTATTAGTGCACATGCCATCTTACAAAACTTGCACGAATAAACATTAGTTCCAAACAACCAAACATATCATGTAATGCATCATATAACATATTGCAGTCAAACCTCACTTTAACATAAAGGGGTGGCAACCATAGGGTAGCCGCTTCAACAACCATAAATCACTTACACAATAGTCTTGTCTTATCACTTCCCAAGAGTTCAAGGTGGTTCTGGTCCTTTCTTGTTCCTTTGGTTCGGCCTAATAACATAACCATCCTTAGTACATAGTTCTAAAATTAAAGATCTAAACTTAATATTCCTCTTGACATAGGTTCAGCCCTTTTTGATGAAATGCCTTAGGAGATGATTTTCACTAGTTGTTCTCATGCATAGGTCCTATCCATTTCGGCCATACATCATGATACTTAAGAAAACATTCACAAATTTCTTTTCTAAGCTTGTTGGGGTTCGACCATTTAGGGGTGTATACCTAGAGGACATTTTTGATAACATGTTCATGGCTTAAATGCTCATATAAAATGGTTTATCCTTAAATCAGACTTTAGACTATACTTCCCTATACATCACATTCGGCCATTTTAGGTTTAGGTTGTTTAGCCAATGTTTTGAAGATTTGGAGAGTGTATGCATATCATTTAAGTTCGGCCATGTAGAGATGGTATAAAATAGGAGATGATTTCTAGGATGATAGATGCATGCATGGCTTTATTAGTCCAAGATCTAGTCATGTAGAGTGGTTAGGGTTCATTCTACTAGCTTGAAGAGATGAGGTCTTACCTTAATGATGATAATACAACTTTATCTAATGCTTCACACGTGATCTTCAAGGAGCCTTGAGTTGAGAGTTGCTTCCAACAACCTCTTGGTCTCTTGCTACACAAAGAGAGTGGAAACTTAGGGATCCTTAGTCTACACCAAACGAAATGAGGTGAAGCCTTTACCTTACCTATGTGGGTGAAGACAAGAGGGTTTGGAGAGCTTAGAATAATTTTGAGATGATCCTAGGTCCTTGAACTTGCTATGGCCGAGGCTTAGGAGTAGAGAAGGATGAAGTGTTTGAGTATTTTACTTGCTTGGTTTGTTTGGGAAAGGGATGGCCGAAGCCAAGGTGTGAGGGAGAAGGATTCTTTGTCTTGATGCTTAGTGCTTCACGGCCTTAGGGGGAGGAGGAAGCTCTTTGCTTGTTCTTTTATTCAAGCCTAGTCATCATTTCCTTGGGGTATTAGGTTTAGGGGTGCTTGAGTGTTACTTGAGAGTGTGGAGGAAGTTATTCACATGCATTGGTGGTGAGTGAGTGATGCTTGAGTGTGAGACATCTTTCCTTGTCTTTGTTGATGGAATGGCCGAACATGTAAAGGGAGGAGAGATGGTTGTTCTTGGTGACCTTTGCATGTATTACACTTGGCATTTGTTTGGTCTTGGTGAGAGGTTTGAGTGAGAGAAAAGCAATCCTTGCTTGCCTTAGTTGATGGCCGTGACATAGGGGGAAAGAGGGAAGATATTTTCCTAATTTTTTATTCAAGTCTATTCATGATGAAAGCTTATAATTCAAGGAGGGTTGAGTGTGAATTTGAACTAGGGTTTCCTTGCTTCCTTTGTTGTTTGGCCAAGGTTGAGAGGAAGTGAAGGGTTTGGTCATGTGACTCCTTGGTGACTTGTGCGCCTAGGGAGATGGAGAAAAGGTGGCTTCACCTTTTTAATCATGAATTGGGGAAGACTTGTGCGCCTAGGGAAGAGGGAAAGTGAGCCTACTTTTATGAAGGGAATCTTGGTTTATGTTCCCTTGATGTGTTACCTTGGGAGATGGAAAGACTTGTGTCATGCATGGCTTGAGTGTATAAGAAGAAAGCTTTCCTTTTCTTGTCATGTGTGCGCCCTCCAAGGTAGCTTAAGGGAAAGTAATGTTGCTTTTGGTTAAAGTAAGTCACATGCATTGGTTAGGTTTGGAGTATTTCTTACACAAACTCCTTCATCACTTTTCCTTCCTTATTTAGCGCCTAGGGGAATGTGAACACAACTTCCTTTCCTTCTCTCCTTGTCATGGCCGAAGTTATCATGTGGGGAGGTGTAATTTCATACAAATTCTTCCTATCATGTGTTGCCACCTCATCTAGGGCTTATCTTTGAATTGGATTGGGCATAGTGGTGTTTTCGGCCCAATAGTGTTGATGGAGAGGTTTGATCATTGGTTAATGGGCTTAGGCTTTGTTTGAGTGGTGTGGGCTTGGGTCTTTATGTACTTACTAATTGGGCTATTCCTTATTCAATTCATAAAATGGGCTTGCATTGCTTTGGGCTTATATCCTTTCTCACTTGATCTTAACTTATTTAGATTCTTAGGCTACTCGTTCACTGAATATGGACTTGATCCCTTTTCATTTCATTTCATTAGGCTAATTTCGAGTACAAGATTTTTGGGTTATTACAGTCTGCGTCCAAAGATCAGTCGACGACCTTCAGTGAAGCTTAATTTACAGGACAAAAACAGAATTCCCGAACGCAAAATTAATGCATTTGACATGCGTATTTGTGAGGCAGATGAAGTCCCAATATGGAAGATGTAAGGGGGAAAGGGAGCTTGTTCTCTTCAGAGCTTTTTTTAGGGTTGGAAATAAAACCAACGGACAATATACATAAGAGTTCCCAAACGGCTATGCCTGCAACCAAAACTTATTACTCACTTGTTAGGACCAGCTCAGCAGAAAGAAGCTGCTAGGATGGTAACTCAGTGGCTAGACCCTGCTCAGATGTGTCACTGTCGGGGGTCAGAATTTCTGTGTTTGTATTATCGCCGGTTTTAGGAAGTTGGTCAGTAGATTCTCCCTTCAACTCATTTTCGCTATATAAATCCCTTTGAAATGGTACACTTCTTTGCTGCTGGGATGCAAGAACATTATCGATAGCTTTAAAAGTAGCAGATGCCTGATTACCGTCAACAGCATCATCAACATCTACACCATTAACACTAGGTTCCTCGGACATGTCATCCTGCCTGGGAGGACGAACAAAAAATGGAATTTTACCCCTCTGCCAGTCATGAAGCATCATCTTTGCTGCAGTCATCAGGTCAGGTTCACCGCCCTGAAAAAACCATTATAAGTAACAATCACATTAAAGTCTGTCATCCTGTCTTACCAAAGCAAAAAGCCTCAAGGAAAACACATTGCAGGAACACTCAGATGAAATAATTGACATACTACTGTCATTAAAGGGAAAAGTACATTGAGTTGCACCGTTTCCTTCTTAAAGAAGATAAACAAGCACATGATACAGACATGAAATAGATGTTGCTTTGGTTCATAGTCAGTCAGGATAGTCATACCATATATAGATGAATTTGCACACACAAATAGCATTTATAGTCTTGGCTAAATTGGGGAAAGCAAGAACACATTAAGAGGGCTGATGTCTCAACAACAATGCTACAAGGAAATATCTTTCAAATATAAACTAGGACTCTGGATAAAAAAGAATACCTTCAGAAGTTTGCCACTTGATTTGCAAAGCTGAAGTAGGAAGTCATTTTCATCATCCCTGATGACAAGAAAAAGATTTTGCATAAAACCAAAGCTATAATGACAGAGACAAGCAAATCAAGGCAAGCACAAACTGCACATAACAGACACAAGAAGAATGATCATGTCATCACCACCTTACTGTGCATAATCTGTCACTAGAGGCTAAACCTATTGGCAAATGAAAAGAAAAACCTTAAAAGATGACCTGCACAGAAGATATGTTAACATTTTATGAAGTGTTGGCTTTAATCCACTTCTATAAATTTCATGTGGGTTGATTGTATGACATGGAGAGAAAATGTTGTTCACTATCAACTACAATAGCACAGATCTTGTCAGCGCCAAAGATTAACTGGAAAACTTGGGTTGTTTTCAGCAAACACAAGAATACAAAAGGAGGACACTTATCAAAAATCTACTTGTCACCATTGAGTTAAGGAGACAGAGAACTGTACCACTCTTTTATTTTATATGCTCTTTCCAAGTGCTCCTTCTTCACACGTTTCAAAACCTCACCAATATGGTCCGTAGCATCTTGCAAGTTTGTTACACGTACCTGGAAATATAACAGGTATTTAGCCTGACTCGAATGATGATAATAATAATATATCTACCAATTAATATGCAAAATGAATTCCACAAGTACTTCTATTACCACATGCAAGCAGGAGTGAATTATCCATTGGGCAAGCAAAACAAGCATGAGTCCTGACTATCACTATATATAATATAACATAATAAAAGCTATGATCGTTCAGGAGATGCCAGATTGATTGGTTAACACAATATCACTCAATACACAATTACATCGGATAATAAAGTCACCATTCTGACAAATTAACATAAGGGGGAATCAATACTGATCACAATCATATTTTGTCGGCATGAATGCTATAAATAATACCACTAGCATGTCATTTCCTGGGTTAAGTAACACCCAAAGAGGTAATATACTTGTCATTCAGTCTTAAAAAAATCTAAGAATAGCAATTTCTGGGTCGGAATCAGAATCCTACCAATCGCAATGATTAATGCACCACAAACTCACAAAATAGGTGATATCTCAGGAGACTACCAGGTTGATTGGTTAACACCATATCCCTAAACAGTAGCATTCTTTTTACTTGCATAGCTAATCTGAACAAATATTCTTTGTTAAAGCACATGACAACCAAAACTAGAGAAAACAGGAGAAAACATACCACACCCTTCAGCACAACATCTGTTTCAGAGTCATTGTTGTAGTAAACAACACCTGGACAATCAATCAAAAAGATCCTCTTTGTAAGAGTTATATACTGCCAGACTTTCGTTTCCCCTGGAATTGGAGCAACCTTGCAAACCTTTGGCAAATAATAGGACACATGTTAGTCAACAAGCTAAAATGCTTATTCCAACACACAAACTCATTAACAACAGCTTAAGCTGAAAATCAGAAGCAGATAAGGAGAAAGAACTATTACATTCTTTGTACGCAATGTATTAATCACTGATGACTTCCCAACATTTGGATATCCAACAAATCCAACAGATATTACTTGCTTATCGCTTTTCAATCGAGCAAATTGCCTGAGAACCGATAAAAGGGAACCCTAGGCACAAAAATGAACAATAAGCAGCAAATAACTGCAGATGCAGAATGGTTGAAGGAGAGGAAAGAAAGATGTGTTATCCCCAACGTCAATTATCCTTTTTTTCATTAAGTAACACATTACAACAAATTAGCAGATAAATAAAGTAAACAAATTAGTCAAGTGTATCAGAAATACCTTTCCAAAAGACTTGTTAATGCTTGCATGGAATGCTAGAGTTGGATATTCTTTCGACAAAACTCTAAGCCATCCTTTTGTTGCCCAAGCAGGAATTAGATCACACTGACCAAAAAATAAAGATTTAAGATGTTAATTACATTACATGATAGCAATTTACAGTATTTATCGATTATCAACATTCTTGAACAATGACAAACACAAAATGATGTAAATAACCTTGTTCAACAAAAGAACCATGTGTTTGTGCTTGCAGTTCTCCTTCAAATGCTTCTCTAAATGGTAGCATCTTGTGCCTTGTGGGTCCCTCGCATCTAGAACCTGCATTAGGATACATAAAATATTAAAACTTCAAAAGAAGAGGAATGTGTATGACAACAGCAAGGAATCTGGACATCAAAAGAAATCTGACATATGTTGTCCTCTTCAGTTTAAACAAGCACTAAACAATATTAGAGTAGCTCAGTTTATATCCTGTAAAATCAGTTACAACTTACAACAAAGTAACTGACTTGTAACTAATAATAACTGACTTAGTTTTCTGTTAGATTCTAACTCAGTGAGTTAACATTGTATAGTTAATTAACTCTCTGAAGTTAGCTTAGTTCAGTAGGTCTATAAATAGACCCCTGTGTAATTCTCTAAAGTGTGGTTATCATTTTTCACAATTCTGAAACTCAGCTCTTTTCAGATTCGCTAATTCTCTCTTCCCTCTCTTTACATTCTTCGTTTATGGTATCAGAGCTCCATTCTTGGGGCCCTGATCCATTTTCTTCTTTCTTCCATGGCTTCCGCTACACAAAACACCCTAGATTCAGCCTCATCTGCAAATCAAAATGCTTTAGGTGATTCCAAATTGCCTATATTGTTCAACACACAATTGTCTGTGAAATTAACTAGCAAGAACTTCCTTTTATGGAAGCAGATTGTAGAACCACCGATAATAGCTCATCAATTGGAACGCTATCTTGTTAATCCACTTTCTTCTTCGATTTCGATCAGAGGAAAATAAAGTTGCTGAAATAGTTAATCCAATGTTCGTTGAATGGGAGAGAACAGACAAGATGCTCCTTATCACCTCCAACGATGGGGGGAAATAGAAGAAATGAAGGGAGGAGAGGACAACTTTGTCAAGAGTCAAGGGGTTCTCCAGAAAAGGGAGGCTATCAAGGCGGAGGACGAGGAGCAAATCCGCGGATAGGAGAAAGGATACCTGAGGATTATGCCCGGAGAACGGGCCGGGCTAGGCAATATCAAAATAGAGAAGATGAACAGGTGGAAGAAGAGGTCACATGGGAGGAAGAACAGTATTTAGGAGCCCGTCAAGGTTATACTCGGCGAGATGAACGAGAGGTAAACAGAGGTCGATATGAAGAAACTTATCAAAGGTGGAGGCCGGAAGGAGGAAGAAATTATGGCAATCGCAGAGGTGAAGTTCCGCGAGACGATACCGAGTACCATTACTGGGGTAGAGATCAAAGTCAAGGAGATGGAAGGCGACAAGCAAATTGGGATTATCACCATTACGGACCAGGGCAGGCAGAAGACTAGGGTCCTCGTTATGGCAATAGACAAATGGCCAATAGGGAGAAGGATGTACCCGTTTGGAATGGACAACTCGGAGGAGCTCAACAAGGGATTCTGGCGCCCCCCATTAATCAGGGACCATCAGGAACTCCTTTGTCGGGGAGGCTTAGAGCAGAACCAATCCCGGTTTGGTTTAAGCAACCAAGTGACATGAAGGCGTAAAAAACAACGCATAATTTGTCCGGAGTAAGACAAAAGCCCGGAGAAAAGTTGCGAGATTATTATGAACGTTTTCAGGCAGAAGCAAGACAAGTTAAGGGTTTAGAAAATCAGACGTACCTGTTGTTGTTCACTACTGGATTACAACCCGGAGGAATTGCCAACTCGTTAGCCAAAAAGGCTCCGGCTACAAAGGAAGATTTGCTAGAAAGAATCAGAAAGCATATTGATTTGGAAGATTTTAAATCTTCTCAAAAGCAAATTGAGCAAGGTTTTCGGGAAGCAAGTCAAAGTCGGAGGCCGGAGAGACCAGCAGGAAGAGGGCAGTTTGAAGAGCGACGACCTCGTCTAGTCGGAGAAAGATTCAGAGAGCCATATCGGAGGGAGTTCACGCCTTTGAACACATCAAGAGCCCAGATATTTAAAGAAGTAATGTTGGCAGAAATGAGAAATGTCCCAAGGTCGCCACCCATTCAGTCAAAGTTTCCAGACAAAACCAGATGGTGTGAATTTCATCGTGGGTACGGGCATTATACAAACGACTGTTTTAATTTACAGAACGTCATTGAACGATTGATCAAAGAAGGAAAGTTACAGAAGTACGTGAGAAGAGATGTAGATGGTAGCAATGAGGACAAATCTCGACGACCATACCGTAGTCGGAGCCCACCAGGAGGAAGAGGACAAGAGGCAGGCAAGATTCCACAACAAAAGCAAACATCTCCCAATCAAGTCCAGTTGGGTCACGTGTGTACTATAGCCGGGGGGCGAGCAGGAGGAGGAGAGTCGAGTAATGCTCGAAAAAAGCATTTAAAGATGTGCATGGCCATTTCATATAAGCCACGTTTTAAGGAAGAAAGAAGGAAGACAGGCAAACAAGTAGTTTTTGATGACCTGGATGATGAGATAATTGATCCAGAGCACGACGATCCTTTAGTCATTTCTGGGCTGCTAGCAAATTATCGCGTTGATAGAATGTTGGTAGACCCGGGGAGCTAGGTGGACATTATATTTTTGGATGCGTTTAGAAGAATGGATTTGGATTATGACCAGTTGGAGTTATGTGGAGCCGAGTTATTAGCTTTCACAAGATATAAAATTAAGCCATTGGGATATATCCCATTAAGGATGACGTTAGGCAAGGCGCCCGCGCACAAAACGGTCACTTTGATGTTTGCAGTAGTAGAATTGAGCTCAGCGTACAATGTTATCTTGGGGCGGCCATTTATGAAGAAGTTTAAAATCTTCTTGTCGATTGATCAGTTGGCTATGAAATTTGTGGCCAAAGATGAGTCAGTAGCTACGACAAAGGCGGACCAAGTGGTTGCTCGGAGTTGTTATAATATGAGTCTACGAGTTCCACAAGCAGGTAAGGAGAAAAATATTGTGGAACCACCACAACAAGCCAAAGAAGAAAAAAAGACACAAGAGCTTTTGGAAGCAGGGTTTATTAGAGAAATAGAATATGCTACGTGGCTAGCCAACCCGGTGCTGATAAGGAAGCCAGATGGGAAGTGGAGAATATGTACAGATTATACAGACTTGAATAAAGTGTCCTAAAGACCCATTTCCTTTACCAAGTATTGATCATTTAGTAGACAGAGCCTCTGGGTACAAAGTGTTGTCATTTATGGATGCATATTCCGGGTATAATCAGATACGGTTATGGAAGGAAGATCAAGAAAAAACAGCGTTCATAACTGATAATGCAGTGTATTGTTATAATGTCATGCCATTTGGATTAAAGAATGCAGGAGCGACGTACATGAGAATGATGAACAAAGTGTTTAAGGCACAAATGGGTAGAATGTTGGAAGTATACATGGATGATATGATTGTGAAGTCGGGGGACGGTAAGACACATTTACAAGACTTGCAGGAGGTGTTCGAGCAGGTTAGGAAGCATAATATGCGCTTAAACCCAAGTAAGTGCGCTTTCGGGGTTCCAGCCGGAAAGTTTTTGGATTTCCTGTTAACAGAAAGGAGAATTGAAGCTAACCCAGACAAGTGTAGAGCAGTGATGGAAATGAAAAGCCCAGAGAATATTAAAGAAGTCCAAAAGTTGAACGGGCGAATAACAGCTTTGTCCAGATTTTTGGCCAAGTCTGCACAGGTGTCTTTGCCACTATTTCAACTTCTAAAGAAGAGAAGTAATTTTGCATGGACGGAGGAATGTGAGATAGCATTTCAGCGCTTCAAAGAGATGTTGGCTTCGCCGCCAATCTTAGGAAACACGGAACCGGGTGAAGTGTTATACTTATATTTATCTGTGTCACAGGAGGCTGTTAGTTCAGTTCTCGTCCGAGAAGGGAAAGATGGGAAACAGCAACCGGTATACTTTATAAGCAAGGTGTTACAAGGAGCAGAAACAAGATATCAGCATGTAGAGAAAATTGCATTTACACTGTTGATTATAGCAAGGAGGCTTCGTCAGTATTTCCAATGTCATCAAGTGGTTGTTCGGACTAATCAGCCAATAAGGCAAATGTTGCATAAGCCAGACCAAGTCCCATGCCGCCTTCCATGGCCTCATGGGCACCTGATCATTTCCTACTCGGAAGTAGGGCCAAAAGTCCCATGCCGTCTCTTATGGCCTCATGGGCACCTGCTCATTTCCTACTCGGAAGCAGGGCCAAAAGTCCCATGCCGTCTTCCATGGCCTCATGGGCACCTGCTCATTTCCTACTCGGAAGCAGGGCCAAAAGTCCCAGGCCGCCTTACATGGCCTCATGGGCACCTGCTCATTTCCTACTCGGAAGCAGGGCCAAAAGTCCCATGCCGTCTCCTATGGCCTCATGGGCACCTACTCATTTCCTACTCGGAAGCAGGGCCAAAAGTCCTATGCCGCCATCCATGGCCTCATGGGCACCTGATCATTTCCTACTCGGAAGCAAGGCCAAAAGTCCCATGACGAATTCCATGGCCTCATGGGCACCTGATCATTTCCTACTCGGAAGCAGGGCCAAAAGTCCCATGCCGCCTTCCATAGGAAGCATTTAATGAGGATGCTGACGTATAAGAAAGAGAAGATATAAGGGGTAAAATAACTTATAAACTCGGAGTAAAATAGACATTGCACTCCGAGCTTGGGGGCTTAATGTTCCAGGTTTATACATCCGGGTATCAATAGTCAAGGAAAAGAGTTGATAGAACCCGGATGGGGTTTTACCCGGAAGGGAAGTCGGCCAAAATACTATAACCCAAAGTGGGCCCTACCACGATTACATGATGGGTTTCTATAACTACCCACGTTCACAATAACCACCTATGGAAGGGTTATATATACCAAAGACCATAACTAACATAGGGGATAGACAATAATCATACTAATGTTCATACACAACAGCAATAATTTTCAAACGAGGAGTACTAAATTATAGAGAAGCAGTTTTACCTTGAGAACCATCAGCTTTCTTAACTAAGGACTCATAATCAGCCGCCAAGAGGTTGGGGCGCTTTCTTTTAGTCTTAGGTCCAAATGCATCCTCAAAAGGCTGTCTATCAAGAAGGTGAACCCTTGATTGCTACATTCGAAATCCACAAAATTAGTAAATTTCAAAAAAAATAATAATAAAAGAAAGCACATAACTATTAACAAACAAAACAAAGTCCTTGCAACAAATAAACAGCTTAATAAATAAACCTTTTGGTGGTCGTTGGAGTCGTTAGTCTTTGAAATTTCGCAAATTTGTATTTATAAAAATTGAGATCAAATTTAATAATTTAATTATAAAAGAAGAAAGATAATATTTCAATTGAATTATAAAAATATATTGGCGGGCCGGCCCGCAGTTTTCCACCTCTAGCTGTCAACATTTTAATTACACTCTTGCAATAAAAAAAATGAAAGTTTAATTTCTTTCTTATGTATTAAATAAAAATTTTCATTTTTATAATTCTTTAATTTAAAAAAAAAATTTACAGAATGACAATCGTCATTTTTTATTTAAATTTAAAATTCAAAACTTTTTATGTTAATTATACATTTTTTTAAATATAATTTTTTTCTATTTTAATTTATGATTTTTATATATTTTTTTAATTGGTTATACATGTATATTTAAAAAATTTATGTTAA